TGTTTTGATAATATTTAAATAAATATGCCAAACACGTTTTTAACTTTATAAATAGAAAATTCGTTTATTTTTAACATTTTTCGATTATCCAGATACACGTCTGCATCCACTAGTTCGGATAGACTGCATTTGATACCATAAGTAAGTTCTTCACCCAAAAATTATTATTAATTTTTATCAAAAACTGTATAGTGGGTAAAGAAATAAGTTTTTGGTCAAATATGAACAGTGGATTTTTTGAATAACTATTGTGTAGAAGGGTAAAAAAAATTTTGATCTATATGATTTCAAAAGTTTTCTTTGTTCTCCCAAATGGTGCAATAATTTTTTTTTCTAAATTCCAAATCCACCCCTTTTTAAAAATTTCTTTTAATGAAAGATAATCATTATTTCTTTTAACTCTTAAGATGAAGCTAAAAACGCATGTTTTTGATAAACAAATGAAACAAAATATCTTCTTTTGTTTAATTTGTTTATTAAAAGCATACATTTCAAGCCTCATTTTAAATAAAGAGCAAGAAAAACTGTTGAAAATTAAATAGGTCAAGAATTTATTTCCCTTTATACAATATTGATTAATTTTTAAAAAATACAATCTTTACATTCTGGCTATTGGATCACTTTTGGAATTTCACCCCATCCCCTCTCCTTATAGATAAAAAAAAATTTTTCTGTTTTATGTCACTTCTTAAACGATTGTGACTTGGACGGATAAAAAGTACCTTACGTCCGAAAAAATTGTATTTTTGAAACTTATTGCATTCAAAACAATGTACTTCTTTCTATATGAAATCATCGAAAAATTGGACTCTTTCAGGCGCAAAGCCTCTTTTAACTGTTCAGGTCACATTTAACTTCAACTAGATTTTCAAAAATATTTACTTGTAAGCAATTCCGTGCTGTGGCAGTTTTTTTGGGCGTCCTGACTTGTGCCACCGATGGTTTGTACCGTAATATCGTTCGAACGTTTTGTAAGTGAGAAGTCTCTTGGGTTGTATTATACGACCTGATGATGAAGTCTGATCTAAATGGATAAAGGAACATTAATACTAATAATTAAATTCATCCCAGGATTTTGTTACAAACTAGCAAATTGTACGCACTAGCGCGCGAAACACGGTATTCAATTTACTATTATTTTGACAATTACAAAATTTTTTATTTTGAAATATAATCTCAAATTTTTGAATAATCCCAGATTCAAAATTTAAATAATTCACTTATTAAATACATAAATAATTATTATTGTTTATTATTTTCAAAATTTCTAATAAAATTCTTCGCAAGAATTCAATTATTTTTCTAAATAATAACATTCTTCGAAAGAATTCAATTATCTTTATAAATAGTCAAATTCTTCACAGGAATTCAATTATTTCCAATACAATTTAAATAAAATTTATAAGTTCTCACGAAAGGATTCTATTAATTTAAAAAAATGTTTTCAAATAAATTCAATTACTTTTGTAAATAATAAAATTTTTAGTAAGAATTTTTTTATTTTTTATTGAATAATACAATTCTTCTCAGGAATTCAATTATTTTCAATTCAATTTAAATAAAATTTGTAAAGAATATTAAATTATTTTTAGAAATTGTAATAAAATTTATTCAAAAAAATTTAATTCTCAAAAGTTATTATAAAATGCTTTATAAGAATCATGGATGGCTTCATATATAGTCTACTTCACTATAAAAGTTTTTATTATTGTGAGGTGGACTATATATGAAGCCAACACTGATAAGAATTCAATTCTTTTTATAAATATTAAAATTTCTCCTCATGAATTTAATTACTTTCAATATAGTTTTTATAAAATATCTCGAAATAATTGAGTTTATTTAAAAAATTTGTAATTAAATCCTGGGAAGAATTCAATTATTTCCGGAATTTAATTTTCTGTCAATAATTTTAATAAATATTAATAATAAAATTATTAATTATAATTATTAACAAAATCTCAGAAGCTTAAACTGCAAAGAGAATACCGGAACACAACGATTATTATTTATATAGATTTTTAAAACAAACTGAATTATTTCAAAATATTTCATAAAAAATGTACTAAAAGTAATTAAATTTAAAACGAAAAATGTAATATTTATGAAAATAATTGAATTCTTATAAAGAATTTTATGAAAACTTTTGAGAATAATTAAATTATTTGACAAAATTTTGCCACAATTTTAAACAATAATTGAATGTTCTCAAAAATTTTTTTAAAATTATATTGAAAATAATTGAATTCCTAAAAAGACTTTTACTAAGAAATTTGAAAAATATAAACAACAATAATTATGTATTTAATAAGTGAGTTATTTTAAATTTTGAATCTGGAATTATTCAAAAATGGAAGATTATATTTCAAAATAAAAAACATTGTTATTGTTAAAATAAGAATAAACTGAATACCAGGCTTCGCGCGATAACACGTAAAATTTATTAGTTTTTTTATAAAGAAGGTGAATTTTCTTTTTCAAAAAAATTACTAAAGTTTTGCATGATTTTATATAAAAATCCAAAGCAAATATGTGAATTTTGAGAGAATAGAAGTTGTTTTTTTGAGAAATAGTTGAATTCTAAAAAGGTTTTATAAATTTTTTCTGAAGATTGTTAAATTCCTGTAACTAATATGAAAAGATCAATTTAAATTACTGTTAAATTGTATTTTCTGTCACATTTTATTGTAACAATGTTTTATATTGTACACTACCGTCCGAAATTGTGCGAACTCTGCTTTTTCAACAACTATAAAACTGTTCAAATCTTCAAAAATATTAAAACTAAAATTTTTTCCTCTTTATTTTATTAAAGTTAATAAAATTCTGAAAGAAATGACACCTTGACAAAGAGAATATGTTAATTTTTCAATTAGATATCTAAGAAAAACCCAATTTTCAATGTTTTTACTATTTTTTTTATTTCTCTGGCAAAAATTAATATTTTTAAACGTTCTTAGGCTCATTGAAATCGTATTTTGTTATGCAATTCAAATTATATAAAACAATTCATGTACACATTCTTCCCTAGCGTATGCAAACCGTGAAAGTTGGCTCATAAAATGTCAAAAAATTGTGATTAATATTTATATGACAAAAAATGATCAGTAAAATGTATAAATCTTAAATTTACTTACATAAATCAGAGAAGTTTAGAATGATATATTTACTTGATTTTTAAACATTATATTTTATTGTAGAATTAAATTTAAAATTTTTGACATTTTATGAGCCAACTTTCACGGTTTGCATACGCTAGGGGAGAATGTGTACATGAATTGTTTTATATAATTTGAATTGCATAACAAAATACGATTTCAATGAGCCTAAGAACGTTTAAAAATATTAATTTTTGCCAGAGAAATAAAAAAAATAGTAAAAACATTGAAAATTGGGTTTTTCTTAGATATCTAATTGAAAAATTAACATATTCTCTTTGTCAAGGTGTCATTTCTTTCAGAATTTTATTAACTTTAATAAAATAAAGAGAAAAAAATTTTAGTTTTAATATTTTTGAAGATTTGAACAGTTTTATAGTTGTTGAAAAAGCAGAGTTCGCACAATTTCGGACGGTAGTGTAATACATTTAACCCGGCGAGACTAAGGTTCAATTTTGTAACACCATGACTAAGGTAGGGTAAATTTTACCCTACAATGATTTTCTGTTTCTATATTTAAGAAAAGCTTAAAATCATGGAAATTTTTTTACAAATTTGTTTTATATTGTCTAGTAATGTAATTTATTAGTGTCACAACAAAATTTGCATTTATATAAAAATCGCAGTAAAATTCAGCATTCCTAGTTCAAACTATCGAGGAATAAAAGTTTCATAGGGTAAAATTTACCCTACCTTAGTCAAGGCGGGTTAAGTCTTTACATTGTTTATAGTTTTCTTAGTCAATTAAATTTTGCGATGTCTACTTTTTACTCCTTCTTTTAGTATGAAAACTACTTTTTGATACATTTTTTAAATCAAATATCGAAAGCGAAGCCTAAAAAACGTAAAAATCAATAGAATTACTATACATTTTAGTAGACGAATGCGATGCCTGTTATTCTTACTTGTTCGCTTTCTTTCAAATGTAATAATGTATAGATACAGCAATATTTACCCAACGATTCTTTCCTTTGCAAGGATGCTTGACCAAGTTGTACAGGTGTGGGCGGCGCTTGCATAAAAGTTCCTTTATTCGCAGCAACATCATTAGTAGAACCTATTGCTTCCTCTACATTGTATGATGTATTAGACGAATTGTCACCACTTTCGGAATTGCTGTAAGGTGTATTGGGTGTATGAGGTGTCGACGGGGGTTGTTGTTCGTCGCCAATCATCAAATTATTCACAGAATCTTTCCTCTCTTGTCCTTTAATATTATTTACTGAAATAAAAATTGTATTATCCCTGGCGGATCGCGAAAACCGAAATCTAACTGAGTTGGGTTAGATTTCGGTTAGATTTCGGTTAGACGTGAAAAATTGCCTGAAAAGCATGAAAAACGGTAAAAACAACTATTGGAATGAATAAAGGGTAAGTCACAGGTTTTATTTATGCAGTAGTTTATTTAATTTAAGTTTTATTTAATTATTTATTAATGTTGACAGTGGAAAAGTGTTCACCTGTCACTTTAATGTGCGTGGTTTTTTCTCAAGTTTAAAGTGAAACAGTGATAATTGTGAAAGAAAACAATTGCATTTTATAAAAGAGTGTTTATAGTGTCCAGAATGCATTGTTTTAATTGTAAGAAATGCGTATTAACAATAAAAAAAAACATTTTGTACTATTTGCGTACTGTGTGCATGCGATGCACAATACGACTTTGCCGACATTGACATTGCCGCGCTCAAAGCGCGCTAGATGTCAGCACTGATTCTTTCTTTTTCGGTTGATAAATGTAGATTTGCTGATTAACAGCGCCAGTGGAGAAAAAAAAACTCTCAAGCAACAAGTTGCTGCTTGACGAGGACCCACGCTGATTTCGGTCTTGTCCGCAAGCATTTTGTCGCAAGCATTTTTCCATAATAAAATTCACATTTTGCAGTTATTTAGGATAAGGAGGTAATTTCGATCATTTAATTGGGATCTCCTGTCACTGGGTAAGTAAATTCTATATTACTCGATAATTTAATTTGTTTATTTGCCTAGTAATAGTTAGGTGATTGTCTCGAAAAACTCTTTTTGCATGTCGTCAAGATTCTCTAAATAAATATACTTTATGAAAATGTCCAGTCAATTATTTTATTATGTACTTTTTTAAAATATTAGAAAACAAATTTTGGTTTTGTTATGAATTTCAATGTATTTTTTCTAATTTCACCTCTCAAAATCTGGGTTATCTTATACATATGCTTATTTCTATTTTCCACTCTTTTATCAAGTAAAATAATATTAATGAATAATAATTTAAAAAAAAATAATTCAATAAATTTTATATTTACTTCTCTATTATTCATTCTTTATTTAAAAGATAATTCATTCCGTTGACTATAAAGTGTTTTTAAAAACCATCACTAAAAAATATTAACCTAAAAAATGTGAAAAGTGATTAATGTGATGTTTAAGAAATTTTGTATTGTAGTGTTTTAAAATAAAATAATAAAATATTTGTCAATTTAAACTTTTCACATTAAAAAAAACACAAATTTTTTTAAAATTAATTTAAATTCAAGTCTCTCTAAGTTGTCATTATTTAAAAAAAATCAATTTGCAAAATTTGAACCACTTTTTTATGCATTTTTATCTGAAATATTTTTGTGCAAAGGTACAAATTAAGTTAATTAATTTTTTGGCAAAATCTGACAGATTAAAATTAATTGCATTAATTTTATTCCAATATTAAAATTATAATAAAAATTTTCATTAAAGAATTTTAAAAAAAGTTAAAATTAATTTTTTTAAGAAAAAAATTAGTCGCAAATCTTATTCTATGACAAATATGGACATAACGTTAATATGATTATTTGTAAAAAAATTAATTTCAGGTGTTATTTTTAACTTTTTTTAATTTTAATTTCTCATTGTTAAAATAGTTAAAAAAAATTTTTATGCTTTTCTTTAGTTTAACTAATCCGACAGTAACATAATTATTTGATTAAAATATTTAGAAAAATTTATTTTTCATTTCGAGCTCTTTGAAGCGAAAAGCCAAAGGCTGTTCAATAAACACAATCGAACAATTGAATTTTTTTTCTTTGATTTAAAAAAATTAAGAATATATGTATATGTAATGCTTCTTTTTAGTTTAGTCAGGGAAAAGTCAGGAAATTTTTAATTAGTTATACAAATTTCTGACTAATAAAAATTCTCCAATTTTTAGTAAGAAAATTGAAGCAAAAGAGGTTAGGGAAAGTCAGGAAAATGTCAGGGAATTTTTTTTAATGATTTTAGTAGCCACCATGGTCCGATCGCCACAATTGATTAATTAAATATTTTCTCTAATTGTTAAAATTAGTTAAAACATTTTTAAATGGTTTTTATAGTTTATCTAATATAAAATTAACAAGATTATTTGATTAAATTATTTAGAAAAATTTATTTCCAAATTTGACTTTTTCGAAGCAAGAAGCCGAAAACTGTCCAATCGACACATTTGAAGATTTGAATTTTTTCTCTTATTGTTAAAAATACTTAAATAAATTTTAAATGCTTTTTTAGTTTTACTAATGCGACAGTAACATAATTATTTGATTAAAATATTTAGAAACATTTATTTTCAATTTCGAGTCCTTGGAGGCGAGAATCCAAAGACTGTCTGAACGACACATTTAAAGAATTTAATTTTTTCTCTTATTGTTAATAATAGTTTCAAAAAAAATTTTAATCCTTTTTTTTTAGTTTAAATTATTCAAAGTTAACAAGATTAGTTGTTAAAAGTATTTAGAAAAATTTATTTCCAATTTGGAGTCGTTGGAAGCGAGAATCTGAAAACTGTCTGATCGACACATTCGAAAGACTGGTTTTTTCCTCTCATTGTTAAAATTAGTTAAAAAAAATTTTTAATACTTTTTTTTAGTTTAACTAATACGTATGTAACATAATTATTTGATTAAATTATTTAAAAAAATTTATTTCCAATTTCGACTTTTTCAAAGCAAGAAGCCGAAGGCTGTCCGATCGACACAAATAAGGAATTAAAATTTTTCTCTTAGTGTTTAAAATAATTTAAATATTGTTTTAAGCTTTTTTGTAGTTTAACTAATTGAAAATTAACATGTCTATTTTTTAAAATTATATGCAGAAAAATTCATTTCCAATTTCAAGATCATCGAAGAAACTAGCCAAATTCTGTCGATCGACACACATTCGAAGAATTAAAATTATTTTCTTATTAAAAAAAGTAGTTAAAAAATTTTTGTAACGCATCTTTTTTTAGTTTCGTTTAATTATTTCAAATTTCTAGTTCTTCAATGCGAGAAGCTCAAGATTGTTCCATTGACATAAATGAAAAATTTAATTTTGTCTTTTTAAATTAAAAATAGTTTAATAAACTTTTTAATGCTTTATTTCGATTTAACTAATTTAAAATTAACAAGATTATTTGATTAAATAATTTAGAAAAATTTATTTTTAATTTTGAGTTCTTCGGTAAAAAAAATTTTCTTAATAAACACATTTCATTGTTAAAAATACTTAAAAATATTTTTTAATGTTTCATTTCAGCTCAACTAATCCAAAATAAACATGGTTATTTAATTAAAGTAAATAGAAAATGTTTTTTCAATTTCGAGTTCTTCAAAGCGGGTAGCCGAAGACTGTTTGTACGACACAATTAAAAAATTAAATTTTTTCTCTTATTGTTAAAAGTCGCTAAATAATTTTTTTAATGCCTTTGTTTAGTATAACTAATTGGCAATTAACATAAATTAATTGATTAAAGTCTGTAGTAAAATTTATTTCCAATTTCGAGATCCTCGAATCAAATAGCCGAAGATTGTCCAATTGTCACATTCAAATAACTGAATTTTTTTCTTTTTCTTAAAAATAGTTAAAAAAAAACGTTTTTAATCAGGGCTGCAATGATTTAAATCGTGATTTATTTTTTAATAATATTTTAAAAATAAAATAAATAATTTAAAAAATTCATTAAATTAAGATGTAAAAAAATAAGAAATAACATGTCACTTCTTTAAACTTCTCATAATGAAAAAATATAAATCTATTAGGTATTGAAAAATTTGTCCTCATTTTTACTCTTTTTTATAATGACTATTTTATTTTAAGCGCTTTGAACTAAAATTTAATACTTTGTTAATAAAAATACAAGTATTAATTGACGCTTTTATTATTGATTTTATCATTTATAATACTAAAAAAACGAATCATTTAAAAATAAATATTTAAAAAATAATATTAAAAAAATTTGATGTAAATAAAAACAATTTTATTTAAATAAAAAAATCCGATTTTTCTTATTTTTTTAAAAAATTGGTGATTTTTATCAGCCCTATTTTTAATCGTTTTTGTATTTTAACTAATTCGAAATTAACATAATTATTTGATTAAAGTCTAAAATATTTATTTACAATTTTGAGTCCTTTAAAACGAGTAGTTTTAAAGACTGTCAAATCGGCACATTCTCAAATTTTAACTTTTTATCTTATTGTTAAAAATTTATTATGAGTTTTTACTGTTTATACTATCTCTACTGTGTAAAAAAAATTGCGAACCTGATTCGAGTTGAAAAACCCTTTTTTTAATAACCCCTAAACTTTAAAAAAATATCAAAATGTAATGAAAAATATGTTATTTTTATATAAAAGCTTAGACTTAATTCATATTTAACTTAACACTTGCTAACAAATTGCCAACCCATTTCGAGTTAGGAAATCTTTTGTTTTGAATCATTAAACATTCAAGCGGCCTTCTAGAATCCTCTGCTTCATGACGTTATACAATTAATATGTATTTTGTTAATATAACCAAAGTCATATATATATAATATATATATATATAATTGAAAAGGTAATGAAAAAAAATTTATAGAATAAAAAATCAAGGCTCTATATTTAAAATCCAGGGCTGGACTATTTGGTCCGCTTGACCTTCGCGCAGACCAAGTTTTTGAAGGATATAAATTCTTCAATAATGACTTAAAAATGTATATTTAATTTATTAATTCTAATTAATAATTCTATTAATAATTATTTTATATTAAATATTTATATATTTAATATATTTAATTATATATATTTAATTATATTATAATAATTCATAATTAATAAATTAATTAATTAATTGATATTAATTTATTCAAATTTTTCTCAAAGCATTCATTAAACCATAAGGTTGAATGAATCGTACTTTATCTTAAGGTCAAAATTTATCCAACGGATCATCTACAATTTTCAAAAAGAAATGTATTTCTAACAAAAAATAATTTTTTATTTCTATGACCAGAATAAGTGTTTTAAACTTCTAAAAAAAATTAAATTTTTTGTTAAATTTATTAGCAATTGAATTTTTTAGCAGTTTTAAATAAAAAAATTTTTTAAGGGTATCACTTGATGAATTTAAAATCTAAAAAAGGATTTTTTCGTGACGAAAAGCATTCCTGAAGAATAATTTTTATTTAAAAATAATTTATGCTAAATAGTTTTTTATATTATTTGTTTATAAAGTGTTAATGACAAAGTATCTTTAATGTTACAACAAAAAATGAAAAGTTGTTTTGTTTTGCTCGAACATCTTCGAATACAGAACGGTTAAAAAAATTATATTCAATTACAAAAAAATGTTAATTAACAATACTTGTTTAAAGTTATATAATAATGGAATTATTACAATTATTATTTTTGTTAACAATTATTAAGGAGTCTATGAAGTTGAACGTCAATCGTGCATTGTCTGTAATGGAGAATACTAAATATTAATTGTTTAATTATTACCATAAAACGGGGTTATTTCGCTCGGTACGGGTAGAGTCACTCACCCACTTTTATGCTTGATTTCAGCTTTAAAATAAAGTTTGATACCTTTATTACCAAGTACAATTGTTAAATTTGTTATCAAAAATACCAAATTTTAGTTTAAATTAAATTTAAAGCAAAAAAGTTGGCGAGCGACTTTACCCGCACTGAGCGAAATAATCCCGTTTTAC